ACCTTGGGGCCTCCCCGGGCCTGAGCCCGGCCAAGGGCGGTTGCTGAGCCGCAAGCGCGGGCCGGGACCTGCGCTGCGGGGTTCGCATACATTTACCTTTATTTCTCCCGGGATGGGCGTCCTGGACTCCAGGCTGCAGTTAGTTAACTCAAGTTGAGCAGGTTGTCCCGGTCCCGGTTAATTAGTGAGAGAGTCAAGATTAGAACTCAAAGTTCATGCTCGAGCACTAGGTCCCATCCGGCACGTCTTGAGTATGTGTTAGGAGTGACTGCCATGGACCAGCCCTAACCGCCGGGAGAACATGAAAGTGGGCAGGAGCCGGTGGCTCAGTGGGTGAGCCTCGACCTATGAACCCGGAGGTCTCGGTTCCATTCCTACTCAGGGCACCTGCCCGGGCTGCGGGCTCCATCCCCAGTGTGGGGCCTGCAGGAGGCAGCCGCTCCATGGTTCTCCCTCTCCAGTCCTCTCTGAAATCAATAAAAATATAAATAAATAAATAAGAGCAGGAGCCTGGTAGAGGGGATTAATGGGGGGAAATGGGGACATCTATAATACTTTCAACAATAAAGATACATTAACAAAACAAAACAAAAAAATACAGCAGAGGATTCTTTCCTACAGTGTCTAGTAGTCTAATAAGCTCTAAGTATCAAATGCTTTCTTAACAATTAAAAAAAAATCCTGAGTTGTGTGAATATAGAAGTTGGGACAGCTTTACACTGTCTTTGGCCTGAGTAGGGCCCTTATTGAACAGAATACTATAAAAGGAAGCAGAGGGGTGCTTAATACAGAATTTCATCCCTCCGGGCAGGATGGCAGAGGTGGGGGTGCGTGGGGAGGGGGCGCTGGAAGGACTCGGGCTGCTGCATCCTCCCAGGATCTCGCAGCTTGGGATGTTGCCACATTGATGCCACTTTCACAGGGAGTTACCAGCAGACGAGCCACAATTAATATCGACAGTTAATACAATTGGTCATGTAGCTCATGGATTGTAAAACTGTTTCTGGGGTTCACAATGTCGGGTTCAAAAATGGACTAGAAAGAAATATTTTAGTCAAGCTTGGATAACCAATGCTAAGGTTTATAAACTTGATGACTCAATTGTCCTCCTCCAGAATGTGACAGATCCTATGGATGTAATACACCCGATGAGTGTCCTAGACCAAATGCTTTCTTAACAAATTAAAAAAAAATCCTGAGTTGTGTGAATATAGAAGTTGGGACAGCTTTACACTGTTTTTGGCCTGAGTAGGGCCCTTATTGAACAGAATACTACAAAAGGAAGCAGATAGGTGCTTGATACAGAATTTCAGCCCTCCGGGCAGGATGGCAGAGGTGGGGGTGCGTGGGGAGGGGGCGCTGGAAGGACTCGGGCTGCTGCATCTTCCCAGGATCTCGCAGCTTGGGATGTTGCCACATTGATGCCACTTTCACAGGGAGTTACCAGCAGACGAGCCACAATTAAAACAAAACAAAAAAATACAGCAGAGGATTCTTTCCTACAGTGTCTAGTAGTCTAATAAGCTCTAAGTATCAAATGCTTTCTTAACAATTAAAAAAAAATCCTGAGTTGTGTGAATATAGAAGTTGGGACAGCTTTACACTGTCTTTGGCCTGAGTAGGGCCCTTATTGAACAGAATACTACAAAAGGAAGCAGATAGGTGCTTGATACAGAATTTCAGCCCTCCGGGCAGGATGGCAGAGGTGGGGGTGCGTGGGGAGGGGGCGCTGGAAGGACTCGGGCTGCTGCATCTTCCCAGGATCTCGCAGCTTGGGATGTTGCCACATTGATGCCACTCTTTCACAGGGTTACCAGCAGACGAGCCACAATTAATATCGACAGTTAATACAATTGGTCATGTAGCTCATGGATTGTAAAACTGTTTCTGGGGTTCACAATGTCGGGTTCAAAAATGGACTAGAAAGAAATATTTTAGTCAAGCTTGGATAACCAATGCTAAGGTTTATAAACTTGATGACTCAATTGTCCTCCTCCAGAATGTGACAGATCCTATGGATGTAATACACCCGATGAGTGTCCTAGACACTCCAGGGACCAAAGGCAACTTCACATTAGCCGGACATGTTTCCTTTGTCAATGTTCTGGCCTCGATATATTTTTTAAATATATTTTTATTAATTTCAGAGATGAAGGGAGAGGGAGAGAGAGAATCATTGATCTGTCGCCTCTGCACACCCCCTACTGGGGATCAAGCCTGCAACCCTGACCGGGAATCGAACTGTGACCTCCTGGTTCATAGGTCGCTGCTCAACCACTGAGCCGCACTGGCTGAGCTGGGCTTGGCCACGATATTTTGAATGCTGAACCGTGCAGCAGTGATGGAGGTAGCTCTTCTGTTGGTAGCTGGTCATGAGTCTTGTCCTCAGCCTCAGACTTCTGAACTCCGGGCTGCTATAGAAATCATGAAACGAAAGCATATTTAGATTCTACAAAATAAAATTGATTTGGTAAAAGGAAGCCTGCCTAAAGAAAAGTATGGACAGATCCTTACGTTTGTACAAGGTACCGTAGAACAGTGGTTCTCAACCTTGGCTGCACATTAGACAAAATCATTTAGACTTAATCCTGTGTCCACAGAAGTAGGAGAAAAAATTGCCCTTCGCCGAAGAGTTGAGAAACACTGGTGTTTGATTGGATGGGGTCAAATAAGAAGAGTGATGATCGCCCTAGTGGCTAGGCCAGGGGTGGGCAAACTTTTTGACTCGAGGGCCACAATGGGTTCTTAAACTGGACCAGAGGGCCGGAACAAAACCATGGATGGAGTGTTCGTGTGAACTAATATAAATTCAAAGTAAACATCATTACATAAAAGGGTACGGTCTTT